TAAAGATGCAAGTCAATGGGTTCGATTAAAAAATTTTGTGCTCAGAATACGAAGCTCCTTCAGATGCAAACTTAAAATTTTTCAAAATTAAACAACCCAATTGAATGGAATATAATCACCTTTTATTAGCTCTTGTGAGTATTTCACTAACATCCCAATTCATTATGACTTTCATCTTTACAACACCCCGCTCCACACTACTCTTTCGATCTGTATTCAGGGCCCCACAACTGTGCCAAATTTGATCGAATTTTGTTATGGTCTGGATTTGCGGAAGAACTTTGAATTTTCTATGGGAAAATGTATGGGAAACGGACCTAAACAACTAATGAGTAGTCAAAAATTAAAAAAAAAAATTGGGGGAAAACTTTTCAGAACAACTTTGTAGAAGATCGAACGGTCAGAAAAAAAAACTTAATTTTAAAAGTTCTGGTATGGAGCCATGCAGTAAGCACATTTTTTGAGATGTGGAATCTTTGATGCAACATGCGCAATATGATACAAAACTAATCCATTTTATTAAAGTCGACTAACCTTAAACATCAAGCGATGATTATTATTATTATTATTTAGCTTTATTAAGGAGGCTTTTCCAACCGATGAATTACGTTCTTATATCACCGACAAACGTACATGAAACATTAATTTAGCTTTTGCTAGAATATCTAAACCGGCTGACTCAAATGTGCAGCGATTCGATATGTCCAAACCATAGGATTTTAGGTTGGTTGGTTGTCTTTATTATTATGAGATTTTCAGCCAGACGTAGTTCTATTAAGTCCAGAATTGATCAGACAAGACCCAACTCATAAATTTTTGCACACGTGTTCGTGGCTTAGCTAAACGTTTTCCGCTATGAGGAAGAGGAGACAAACAAGGAGGCGAAAACGAACCACTTCAAGCTGAACATTGCATTAGGTCGAACACAACAAATCAAGAAGACTGGCAACTCTTTTATTTTCTCATACGAACGCTATGAGACAGGTACAATCGCGTCATCTGCCGCTCAAAGGTAAATGCTTCGAATGAATTTGATAGCAAAGATTACATCCTCAGACAAAGGGTTGATTTGTTGTCTTCGATTAGGTCCTAAGTAACATTTGACAGATTCTCTTCGTCGACTTTCTCTTTGCATCCTCACGGCCATGATAAGACATTGCCAGTTAATTTCAGCACACAAATCGATGAAACAAGCTATTATCTAGCGTGTTATACGACAATCACGAAAAGAAACCCAAGTTATTAACGAAAGAGAAAGTCGATGAAGAGAATCGATCAATGTTACTTAGGACTTAATGCATTGTTAGGCTTGACTTTTCTTTCAAACGCGAACCAGCTCGTGATTGGTCGATTTGAAGTGGGTAAGATAGAGATACACTGAGGCAAATTGACTTAAGATGAATGAATGAAAATAAGTATCGACTCATGAACGACACATACGAATTTCATTAGCGCGACTTATGAAAAATGTTCGTCTAAAATAAGGTATGTCTTATACGCCTTTAGCCATTCCATTTTCCCAGATGTTGACAGACGAGTGGACCAGACACACACCCGTAATCTCAACGTCCATGGTTCGGTACCAGTCTGCTCCGGTTAACTATTTTTTTGTCGACATTATTTTTCATAAGGCAAATCTATGAAATTCATATCGATTTCTTGTGGCTTAAATTCATATGTGGTTCTTATGGAATTCTTATGTTCTTTTGCTTTAGTGTAGGGATAGATAGAGATAGAGATAAAAGAGTAAGAAGCCAGTTGTCTCCTCTTCTTCTTTCCTTTTCCGCGGAAATGCAGACAGATATCAGTGGTGTGCTTTGAGTAAAAATTTCATGGTAACTTCTATGGTCATTCATGTCGGTTTGTCGGTGCTTATATCGTAGATCCGGATTGATTTGAGATGTGGGCGTGATTGCTTTTGTAAACGAACACGTCAATAATCGATTTCTTGAGAAACTCGAAAACTAATAACACTATGTGCTAATTTCAAATAACAGACTAGAGTGGTAATTTTTATACGATAGATGAGGAGATGAAAGTATAGAGTTGATAGTTCCGTTAGAGTACGGCAGTGTGAAATTGTTTACATAGAGAGTAGAACGCGTGTACCTTCATTCATAAAAGTTGTCCTTGCTCGCTTTCTACTCTACTATAGATAAACAATTTCACATTGCCGTACTCTAACGGAACTATCAACTCTATACTTTCATCTCCTCATCTATCGTAAAAAAATTACCACTCTAGTCTGTTATTTGAAATTAGCATCTTCAACTATGTAAATCGTTGAATTATTACGCCGAAATCTCCTCTCCGGAAATGTACTTTATTTAGCGCCCAAACGTATTATTTGCCATGATTTCCTATATTAACTTTCAAACCCCCACCGTCAAAAAACTACACAGAAATTACGGAGCCATGATAGTTTTAGCACAGGCAAACAGACATAACACTCGCAAGTTGTTCATCGAACACGCATTTAACGGTGTGGCGTGTTTTTGATGTCTACACACTACCGCCATCTGTTCAGCGTACTACAAATCACAGTATACTCAACAGATGGCAGTAGTGTTTTAGCGATGATGTTTTATATTGAAATATATTCAATGTATTATGTCTGTTTGTCTGTGGTTTTAGCATTTTTCAGAATCAGACGTTGGGGGTTTGAGAGTTAAGGTAGGTCTTTCTCTAGGATGTAAAAAAAAGAAACAGGGCACGCAGAGAATGGATTTGAAATTCAACACAAATATTGTTGACTCACGGCTCCACAATATTCTATTGATTCAAAAAAAAAAAATGCGATTATTTCAACAATAAATATAGTTGAATTAACAAAACGGTTGCAGAATCAACAAACGTTTTGCTGATACCACAATAATTATCGTTGATATATAATTTTCACACCTACTTTTCTAGAAATTTGGCAATTGAATTCAAGTACACCCAACCCTTATTTTACGCGGTCTTATTTTCCTTAAGCTTGATGTGTCAAAAAATCAAAGATACATTTTCTAACTTCACCACAAATAAAGAAAATTGGAAAAATGTACCCGCGTAAAAAAGGGTTAGGCGTACTCAAATCTACCGAATGCGCGGTGGGTAGTGCCGACCCGCTATTTTCCAACCGATTGAGCTGATTTTGTATGGTGATTGGTGTTAACCATAAATTAGTCAGCTACAGAAAATCAGCTCAAGTGATAAAAAGACAGTGGTGGGACAGCGGCACCACTTACTGCGGCTCTTCACTATTATGGCATATTTGCGGCAAATTCCTCCAATCATAACTAGGCACACCTCTTATCTACCGATTAAGCAAATATATTATATTAACATATGGTCCACTCTTTCGATCCCGCAGGGACACGATTTTCAGACAACAAGAGCGCTCTTGCGTCAAAAAAGGCAGCTAATGTATTCTAAAAACATTACGAGGGATGCTTCAAAGCTTCAACAAAGGAGTGAATCCTAACTTGTTTTAAGCATTATAATCATGTTCCAATGTGTTTCTATAAATTTTGTCAACATGCCATACTATTTACTCCGATGTAATAAACGAAATAAAATTGTATTTTAATTGTGTAATAATTGCTATTCACACACCCCTGGGCTGTAATCAAACGCTTGCTGGGGACCTTTTCTGACGCTAGATGGTGCTACATTCTTGTCTACCGCGTGATGTATGGAAAAGTGGAAAGTGGACTACATCGTTTATATAATATATTTGGATTAAGTTAAAGAATTTGGAAGAAAACAACTTTGCTGTAAAGATTTCGTGCATAACTTTCAGCGTTAGAAGACAAGAAAATTGAGATTTCTCTTTCACAGACATCAACTTAGAGTTTCTGCTACTGACAAAAACTGATCGGCACCTTTAATAATTATGCATTTAAATTTATATTCTAGATCCCCTTTTTGAGTTCTATGTTCAAACATTGCTTGCAATGCTTCGCACCAATCAGGATGCGATTTTTTTTTTCTGATTGACAAAACTACGGAATGTGAATCTAAATGCATATATTTTTTTTTTGAGGAAACCTCAATTTACATATTTCTGTTAAGTTGGTTAAGTTGTTTTCTGCCAATGTTTTTAGCTTAATCGGTAGTTAAGGGGTGTGCCTAGATTTGATAGGTGCCGCGTAAAAAAATATGGCACTTCACGGTAGCTCCAATTGAAATTCCTGTGGATTTACTTAAAGCTTGTCTAATTTTAGCATACTTTGAAAAGAATTACTGTAGATTGGTATCTGCAGTAATTCTTTTAAAAGTATACAAAGTATTGGGATTATACAAAAGTTATCTAACTTTCAACTGAAAATGTCTTCATTCATTAAAATTCAAAATTTTCTGGGAACATTTCTATCCAAGGCGTAAGATGACTCACTTAATGGGGAGAAAGAGTAGTAGTATGTACTGCCCTATTTGAGACCCTAGAGTAGAGATTTCGTAGTAGATTTAGAATGTTGTGGCCAACCCTTGAAGCTTTTGTAAAAGCTATTGTCTGGTCAAAATTTGGGAAATTTTATTCGGGTTTCCTTTGGGGTGATCGTCTTGCCCCACTATCCCCTACTACTGGTCAGTTATTGGTTGTGGTTGTCCGCCTTGGTGGTTCTCTGCTTCATGCGACAGATGACAACGACAAATAACGGAATAACAGCGGGGTAGGTATACGTAGTTGGTTGGATGTAGCTAGTTGGTAGATTAGTAGTGGAATAGTTTTTGTCTTGTTTTATGTTCTATGTTTATCCCTGCAAGGTTCACATTTTATTTTTTGTTTCTTAAGTTTATATTGGTCCCAGGGTCCGATGATGATGTTCCTCGCGTTGCAAACAATCTGCTATTGGTTTACATTCTCAGTCAGTCTTGTAGGAAATGTCTCGTCCGGTTAGAAAGAGGTTTTCGTATGAGCGTTGAGGAATACCTGCCCAATCAAATTCGTCGCTGATCGATCCCTGACGTAAATTTCCCATTTATTCTTTCCTTTTGCATACCACTTCACGTCCCAGCCATCAACGGCAAGCACTGGCATCAATAATCCAGCTTCAAATTCCGCTGTGGGCAGTACCACCACCGGTGCCGCCGTCGCTGGCAATGGCGGCTCAACGGTTGTCCCCAACTCAAACGGTACCACTGCACAGAACGATTCAGGCGACATTGCCAAGCCCGGTCCAAACGAAGCTGAAGGCGGTGGCGCGGCCTCTGTTCCAAGCGCAGCCTCCACCAACGGTAACAGTTCTCTCAACTGTTCCGGGTGTGGCGTTACGTGCAGCGAACTGAATGCGACTCCCCAGGGCAAACTGTGCGGCAGTTGCTATCATCATTGGAGGTATTGGAGAAAAATTATTTCATTTTTAACGATAATCTTTCTTTGATTTTGCTTTCATTATTTGATATTGCACCGCGAACTGCACTCTAAACATAAGCCTTCCTTCTTCTCTCACACGTGATGTTACTACCCTTACTACACGTTGTTCCAAACTACCCACTGAAATAATTTTTCTCTGTGTGTTCTCTTTCTTCAAAATTTCTCTCTTCTAGACGTACCGGTGTTTTGCGTCCCACATCCGGTCCGACTTTTATGAACAAACGCGCGCGCAATTCGAACCTGTTGGGCAAATCCGGGGACAGTCACAAGCGTAGGCCCCCGCGGGGTATGTACATCAATCACGACGACATTGTCAAACTGGCCAACACGGCCCAGAACAATAACAATGCCGAACCGAATCCCAACGACGACCTGCTGGCTGGGATGGATAGGGAAATCGTTACCCTCTGGAGTCAAGTAAGCACCCCGATCTAATCCTTCCCATTCGATTTCGGTTGTTTGCATTTTTTTTTTCTCTCTACAACGTTTGCTTCTCTCTGTCTCGGCGTTGTGCAGATACAGTTGAACAAGCAGTCCATCAGTGGTCTGAAGCGGAAGCTTGGTGTCGGTCAGGAGAATATGACTCGCCCGACGGAATCTCCGACCATTCGGGTCAGCAGTCGGTGGAACAACGAAGAACTATTGCTGGCCGTACAGGGCGTCCGGAAGTATGGTCGCGATTTTCAGGTAATGCCTTCTATTCTGGATTGTGTTTGCCATTTTCGGAAATTTCTCACGGTTGCTGATGGATCAGTTTTTGGTTGTTGAGTCTATGTCTTGCTGGAAATGAATCGGAACCATCTTCAATGTACTATCTGACTGAGCAACTCGATCTGCTTTCCTTCGATTGTTGAATAGGGTAAATGCAGCAGTTTTGGGTTTCTAGTAAGCCGTGGGGAGAAAGTGACCGCATTTAAAATATAATTACTGAACATTCAATGAGTATACATTAATTACAAATTATTCACTGCAATTAACGGACTTGAAAAGTAATTACCGGACTGCAGAGTATAATTTAAGTAGGTGGGTACTTCAGGGGAAAGGAAACCAGTGTCGCAGACATTTTTTGTGAAATGTGTTTACTTTATTCCACTTGCCAAGTTGGATGCAGTACCTGAATATCTACATTTCAGAGACCAACAATTTGTTTTTGAAAGTTTCTGCGTCTTCTTGCACCTGAAGACAGTAATTTATAAGAAATAATTTAATTAGGTACAGATCTTATCTGCATCGAAGTTGAGAATTCCTTTGGATTATGTCCTCAAAATCGATTCCTTTGATATTCTTCTCGGAATTCTCTTGGAATCCAATCAATCATATTGTCGAGCCGTTTTGGGACGACATTCTACCAACATTTTTATGAAAATGAAGTTATAATTCCAGGACACTAATCGACTGATTATCTTTATTTGAGAGACACTATTAAATTCAATGGTTTTAAGTATTTTCGGAATTTCATTGCAAGCCTCATCTGAACTTTGTTGAAAATCTTCTCAGAACTCGGGTTTATATTAACTGATTATATAGGTAATTATATTCATTAGAATTTTCGAAGAAATCTTCCTCGTAATGGAATACTCTTATGAACCTCCTAAAAATTCTACTCAGAATTACTTTTTTCTAAATTTTGCTTGTAGCTCTTCTTACAAGCACCTTGGTGTTTTTTCACAATTGCCTGTGAATTATAGTAAAAACTATAGTCGCTGTATTCAAAGCCTGGTGGATAGAATCTCGGGAACCAATTGAGCTGTCAAATAGCGGAACCAATCGAGCAAATCACGACCAACAACAGAAAAGAGCACATCAGCTATTGCGAACAAAACTTCGGAAACCCTTTTCTCATGACTCAAGGCTCGCCTACGCAAACTAACATCATCTTTGTGTTGAGGAAAGTTTCCCATATCCGATGATGCGGGTAATTTGCGTTCAATTGGCGAGGACAGAATAATCAACATTCTGTTTATTAAAGTTGATAATAGCTTTTCAATTGTTGGTCTACTTCCCAGGGCTGGTAGCGAGTCACTTTTTAGTTACTTGGTCACTTTTTTCAAGCCAGTCACTAAAAAGTCTCTTTTTTTTAAGGCCAAGTCACTTAAGTCACTTTTTCTTGTTATAAGTCACTATTTTCAACTTTTTTAGCGTGAATTTGTTTCAAGATTGATCATTCCTTGCTTTGTGGTGTTTAATCGTCTTTCTCTATCTGCAGGGTGTCTACTCATTGTTCTAAATAGACTCACCTAAGTTTTCCAGGTTTTTACAGTTCTTTACCGAATAAATTCCAGGTTTATAATAAGAAAGCTATTCTTTAAATGCGTTAAAAATATGCTTTTTTTGTAGATCAAAAACAACAGCAATTGACATTAACTTTTTTAAACATGGCAATCAGTTTTTAAGAAACAGCTTTACAATCAAATCCATGGAATGTTGAAGTTTAACACTTACTTAATTTCTCACTTAATAAAGTTTTAAAAAAAAACCTTACTTAATTTGAGTAAGTCTAAGATCTAAAATTTTTCAATATCTTTAAGTTTCGTATTCCATGTTCAAGATAATAAAAATTTTCAAAGCTCCAGAAACAAAATAAAAAATGATTTTTTTAAAGTTCGGAAGTGTAGGAACTTTGGAGAAGTTCTAAGTAATAAATAGAAATGCTGAGAATTTCAGTAAAGCTCCATAAACAAACTGCGCTGAAAATATGGGGAACTTACTGGAAGCTTCAAGAACCTCAAAGCAGTTCTTAAAGCATTTGAAAATTTTCGGGAACTGTTATGAAGTTCCTAGAATTTCAGAGAACTTCACAGGTGTCAAGCGAACTTGAGAAATATAGAAAACATGAGGGGTATTGTGCAATTTTTTAAGAAGTTCTAAGTGCCTCAGAAAAGCTAGAGATTTTTGGGGAATTTCAGATCTTAAGAGCAGTTTCCGAAGCTTTAGTCCAGACTTTTGGAGCAGGAATAAAAAAGTGGAAATCAGGATAGTTCCATGATGTGCTGAAAAAAAATCAGACCCTCAAGATGTTCCGAGAATTTCAGCGAATTTATGAAAACTTCAGAAATTTTCCAGATACTACACAGAAGTCCAGAGAATTTCAGGGAAATTTAAAGGTGTTTATGGGAATTCCATTTATTTTCGAGCAGAACCGAGATCTTCAATAGAATTGAGAGCTTTAGGGAAGCTTCGAGAACATCAAGACAGATTAGAGAATCAAAGGGCAGTTCAAATAATTTCAAGGAAATTTTAGAAACCTTAAAGAAGTTGCGTGAGAGTATTTTAAGCGTGTTATACTATGGAGATTTCAAGAACTTAAAAAAATGCGAAAATTTAGCTAAGTATTTATTAGAGAAAATCAACGAAGTTCCATTAATCTAAAAAATGCGAGAACTTTTAGGAAGCAGTGATATCTTCAAGAAATTCCAGAGAACTTCTTATAAATTTAGCTAGTTCCATGATATTCAGCGAAGTTCCGAGTACTTCAAGGACGATCAGATAGCTTCAGAATAATCCCATTAACTTAAGAAAATTTGCAGAGACTTACAAGGAGTTCCGTGGAATTATGATTAACAGGGTGTCTACTACCTGGAAAAACCTGGAAAACCGGGAATTTACAGGGAATTTTATTTTTTCTGGAAAAGCCTGGAATATTCAGGGAATTTTGGTTCCACTCAGGGAATTTTCAAATTATCACTCCATTCGTAATTCAAAAGAAGTTTTTCGTTCAGTTTCTCGAAACGTTTCTTAAGGACACTGGATTTGACAAGCATCTGACATCTAAGACAACGTGTGCGAACAAGACAAGTTCATTCAGAGAGTCTTGTCACGCTCGCTCTTCGCTGATTTGTATGTGGAGGATCAAAATCGTCGTAAAAAGGAAACAGCCGAAAAAGAGAGACTGGCAACCGTCAAAAGGAAGCATACGAAGCATGTATTCTATAAGAATAAGCATGCCAGACAGCAGGCCTACATAGAATTTTTTTTTGAGCTTCAGAGAGGGTCGGAGATCTACTGAGAAATTTGTTGAGCTTCAGGGTAGTTCGTAGATCTTGAGAACAGAACTACAAACAAATTAAAAGTAATTAACAGAAATTCATAAAAACAAAATCACAAGAGAGGTCGTAGATCTTCAGATAAATGTTCAAAGAAATTTTCAAAACTTCAAGCATGTAAAAATAATTACTATAAGCGAAATTTTGCAAATCTTCAGGGAAATTCGCATAACTTCAGACAAGTCCAAGAATCTACAGTGAAATATAAAGTATTTCACAGAAGTTTGGAGATCCTCGAAACATTATTCAACATCAGAAAAGTTCGTAGATCTTCAGAACAAAGCTACAGAACTTTGAAAAAAAATACAGGACTTCTGAAAAAATCACAAGAATCTCAGAAATGTTAATGGATCTTCAGTAAAAATTGCAGAACTTCAGGGAAGCTCGGCGAATTAAAAAAAAAAATATTTACACGATTTCAGGAAAATTTGTAGATCTTGAGAGAGACATTTAAAACTTCTAAGAAGCTCAAATATTTTCAGATAAATTTTGACAACTTTAGGTAATCTTCAATTTTCAAATCTTCAGGGTAACCCGAGAGGAATTTACAAAACATCAGAGAAGTTTGCAGATCTACTGAGAAATGTATTGAGCCTCATGTTTTTTTTGTAGATCTTGGAATAGAGCTACGGAGCTTAAGACAACTTTACAGAACTTTAAAGATATTTGCAGGAATTTGACAGATAGTTTCACAGTTTCACACAAATGTGAGATCTTAAGAAAAATTCGTTAAATGTCAGAAAAGCACCTCAACTCCAAAAACAAATCGCAGCGAAGTACAAAAGTACAATATTTTGCAGAACTCCATGGAAGTCGGAAATAGATAGATCTAAAGAACTTCAGAGAAGTCCGTAGACCTTAAGAGAAGTCCGTAGACCTTAAGAGAAGTCTGTAGAACGTCAGAAAGTTCGTACGTTTTTAGAAAAACTTCAGCAAAACTCACAGATTTTCGGGAAAATTCGCCGATCTTTAGATAAATAATCCACAAAGAACTTTATAAAAGTTCGGAGATTTACTGTGAAATTTATTGAACTTCAAAGCAGTTCGTAGATCTTTAAAGCAGAAATACAGTACTTCAGAAAACTTTACAGAATTTGAAATAAATTTTACTAACTTCATAAAAGTTCAGAGGGTAGATCGTAAATCTACTCAAAAATTAGCAGATGTTTAAATAAATTTTCAGAATTTTACTGCGGTCCTTGGATTTTGAAAGACATTTACAGAACTTCAGTTAAGTTCACTGAACTTTAGAGATATTTGCACAGCTTCAGAAAAATTAGAAAAACTTCAGAATACTTCCTAAAACTTCCGGAAAGCTCAAAAATTTCTAGATAATCTTTTAATTCTTTAGAAAATTGTATAGATGTTCAGAGATATTTGCAGATATTCATTGAATCATGAAAATCTGCAGAGAAAATTACAGAACTTTCGAGAAGTTTTTAGATTATTAGAAATTTTGTGAACATCAGAGATAATTGTTGATCTTTAAGGATCTTAAATCTTCAGGGATTCAGGAACTTTGTAGATTTTTAGGAAAATTTGCAGAACTTCTGAAGAACACAGAGAACTTCAAAGAAATCTGTAGAACTACCTAGACATTTGCAGATTGTCAGGAAAGATCGTTGATCTTTAAAAAAAAATTACCGGAGAACAGAAACAAAACTTCAGGGACGTCAGAAGGTTTGAAGACCTTGCAGAATAGAGTTGTTTACAGAAATTTTCAGAACTCAAGGTATCATGTATTTCTAGTGAGAACTTTTCCCACTAGCTTGTTTAAAGTTGGTATCGACATCCTGGCGAAGTTTTGAAATCCATTTTCATCTTCATATCGCAGCTCTTGATGGACAAGATGAGCCAGATCCCTGCCGGTGTTCCTCCTGAGCAACCATTTCCTACTCCACAAAGTTCACCTTCTCTTCCTCATTTTATTTAAAATAATAAAAGCAAATACGTCTGCCGAAACTAGAGCAATTTTCCGGTAATTCATGATGGAAGTATTTACTTTTGATTCCTGATACAGTTTTGTTTTGAAATCTAAATTGACAGTTCTTTCGACATGTGCAAGCAGTGTGAACACCAGCAAACAGGGGGGTTCGACAAAGTGGTCGAAAGTAAATTCGAGCAGATTTTTCATTATGGCGGTGGTCAAAATCAGACCAAGAAATCAGATAGTCTCAACGGACCTTAAGAGATTTTAGACATGTGAAACCATGATTTATTCTGTCTTGGTCTTCCAAACAGAGTTGGACTCAAACATATTATCAAAATAATATTTTGTTTTTGAAAACATATTGTTATCAAATTTTGATCTATCGTTTTATCGAAATAGTATAGACAGGTTTATATTCTTGAATTAACACAAATACCAAAAAAGAATGTAATATTGATTGACGTAATGCATGTTACTGTATGAATAACTAATGTGATTGCAAAAACCAAATACAGTATTACACCCATGGATATAATTTCTTTTCGCAAATTATGTGTAGGATAAATGCACCAATAGTGGAGGTACTTTAGTGTAATATGTTACTATGGTGGCTTAGAGTCTCCCTAAGCCGCTATAGAAGTACATTGTACTAACGTTCCTCCACTATTGGTTGTACAAATTAATATTAAACAACCTATGTGCATCTGTTCTGCTGTAATATTCAATAACTTTTTTGCTGTGCCGACTTATAAGTACCAACGCCCAAGTTTGAACAATCGAAAATAACATAAATCAATAAGTACATAAAAGGGATCCCAGATGGATAAATAGATAAAATAATAATGTGTATAATTTGTATGCACCTGGATTTTTTTTCATTCGACCTGGAAAAACCTGGAAAACTCAGGGAATTTGATTCCTTGGATTGAGTAGACACCCTGTAATAGCTTTTCAATTGTTGGTCTACTTCCTTTTTGATAGATCGAAATTCTTTCCACCAGACTATAAATATAGCGACTATAGTAAAAACTACCAAAAATCCTTAAATACCTTCTAGAATTCCTTCTAGGGCGTAGCCAGGTTTCAAGCTAGGGTGGGGCGAAAAAAAAATTACTATGGAAAATATGACCGAATGCCATTTCACCGAACGCCATTTCCCCGAAAGCCTTTGCGTTGCTTTCGATGTTTTTTTCTTTTATTTTTATTAAGTCATAGATCGGCATGATGTATATTTTTTACTAGTTCACCTTCTACGGCAATAACAATGACATTCATTGAGATTTTGCCCCAGATCTTTGTGACGCAACAAGGAAATGGGACGTAAATAAAAACTCTCAATAGTTTGTTTTAATAATATCCCTGAAAATATTTGGAAAGTCCCAAGGTAAGATTAGAAAAAAAAAAATGAAAATTATGTAGAGGATTAAAAATTACTAGCAGCAAATTAATCCGTACAAAAAAATCAACTGATGTTTTCCTATACCTAGTGTTCATTACAAGATGGTTAAGTTCACAGTTTTTTAAATTAACTGAGGCCCTTTGTTTCAGAAATCATATCCAATGTCTTTAAAACTTTGGCTGACATTCTGACATTTGCTTGAAAAAGCTATGACCATTTTCGATGAAAGGTGGCAGTTTGGTAAGAAGTTGTAAAAAACTTCTCCTGAATTCGCGGCGATTTCATTTAAACAATGTGACCAGGAATCGAACCCAGTCGCCTCCAGCATGGTCTTGCTTTACAGCTGCGCCTTTACCGACTAAGCTAGAGGAAGAGTTCCGATGCTTTTTATTTTGATTTAGTTATGTTTCTGCTAGTAACATCTTGTAGATCTCCTACGTAGTGCGTATGTTTGATAATTGTTTCCAGTAGATATGCTAGTAGTTACATAAATTTGCGATCCTACCTCGAAACCCAAAAACTGATCCTAAGGTTATCCGGTTACCCTTGAAACCCTATGAGATTGCAAAAGTCGCTTGATTCTCTCGGTTAGGCAAATGCTGACACGATCGGCACCAAGACCGAAGCACAGTTGCGCACCTTTTACGTCAACTACCGTCGGAAATTCAACCTGGACAACGTGCTGAAGGAGTTTGAGGCAGAACAGAAGCAACTTCAAGAGCAAATGAATAATAATAATAATAATAACAACAACAACAACAACAATGCTGCTAGCAGTAACAAGGAAGATGACTCGACGACGAGCATCAGTGAGCTGGAAAGTGCCGATACGAATTCAATGACCGGTGACAAGCTGGATCTAGAAGAAAGCAAAAAGTTTTCCGGAAAGAAATCCGCCATCTTGGAGAATGATATCATGGAGGTAATAGAATAGGATATTGTGCATTAGCAGACGGGGGGTTTATTTGGTAGGACGTTTGGCTTTTATCGTTTAAATTGACTGCATACTTTTACCAAATGTAATTAATGGCTGTAATAGCTTTAAATGGTAAACGTCAAACGTCACGAAGGTTATAAAATAAATACACCATCTGGAATGAGTGTGACATGTGCGAATGACAATACCAATGCTAACACACCTAACTCCTAACACAGTAGTAAATTGCGACTTGCTCTGGTTGTTTTTGTTAACACTGTCCCATCCTCCAAACACTTGCAGATCGATCTTGTCGACGATGAGATGGTCAATGGAAAGAAATCCGACACGGGCGGAGACGCCCTGGATGGACCAGCTGCGACGTCAAATTCCTCCCTTTCGACGGGTAGTTCGTTAACGATTTCTTCTTCCGGAATATCTACCTCCAATGCAGCATTGATAGACAGTGAAGCCCCAATGGAAGTTGACGATCAGTCCAGTTCTAGTGTGAAAGGATCAGATTCGGCTAGTAGCAGTACCATTATCATCAAATAAGAGACAACACCAGCCGAATCAGCGTAATGTCCACCCCAACTCCTTTTTAAACTTCCTTCATTAAACCCCATCTTGCTTTGTCATTTTGTACCTTGTCTCTTCTGGTTTTCGTAGAAGTAGAATACCATAATATGCTATAGGGAAAGTCTGGCATACAAAAATCCAATCGTTTCGGATGCGCTGCAAATGAAGATGTAACTCGATCGGAAACGAGTTTTTAAAGTTCAATTGAAATAGTTTCCCTATAGCATATTTGAATACCACTGTATTATTATTATTTTTTTCGTAGCAGTAGTGGCACTGTTCTCACGAATGTAACACTGTTCAACATTGTATGCATAATCGTAAAGTAAACTGCCTTTAAGCAGACTTCTAAATTTTCACGGTAGTATTATTTAAATAATTTCCTTAAATGATGCCTACCGTGGCAGTTTCAAAGCCTGACTCATATAGTGTCGATTGTAGACCACGTTGGATCTACCAATTTTATTAAGACATGAACTACCAAAAACATGGAACCTAAAATAAGCGCAAATCATCATTGATTGGATGTTTAACCACATCACCTTTTGTTTCTAACCGTCCCGATTTCCACACGATGATTTTAGTTCCACAGAAAAATTTATCTGTCTATTTATTTGTCCGTGACAAAGGTTAGCTAGGAAACTTACACACGAAGAAGAAAAAGAAAAAAAAATGCCTGAATCGTATTAGTGGTTCACAAAACAAGATGCATACAACACAATTAACACATGCTTGCAAATACGCCCTTAACAATTTGCAGGTCACGAACTTACCTATACCAACAATTTAGGGAAAGGAAAAACAGAAATGCACTGTTTCCTTCAGACACACATGGTATAGGCACCGTTGAAAAAAACTAGAAACCGTTATTATTATTATTATTATTATGCTATCATAATTGATTACAGAAAAAAACTAGAATAAAGGCAGATGATTATTTAACAGAGTTGACTAAACTACAAAACATGGAAAACAGATAAGTAATATGATAGATCGAAAACACTCTTACACAATTCTGATTAAAAAAAAAAACAGGAAAATATATGCGACATTGAATGCCTCTAAAGACATGGACAATAGTTTCAGAAGAAAGAAATTCCATCTCCGTAGTAGATATCACTGTCACTCACTCACTCCTGAGTATCCTGAGCACCCGGCTGCTTGCTTTCGTCTTGACCTGGGCCCATATCAGATTTCTGTCGACATGCTTGATTTTTTTTGTAAAGGCTCCGCTGCCACGAGCCCCTAGGTTCGGCTCTGCTGCGTTCCTATACATCTGTTTCTTGCAGTTTCCGTTTCCGCTCCTTCGTATGAGGACGACGGGGTAAGACGGTCAACCTTTAGATTCTTGAAACAATCAACTCTTGAAAAAAAACTAGTGATGCAGCGTTATTTGTTAGGGGAGGGACCAAGAATTTAAAAAAAGTGTCTACGTAGTTAATGAACAGCCCCTTATAAGTAAGATGAACAATGCATTCCAAATGGGGATGTTGCACAAGTAAATAAGGAATTCCCTCACTACGCGGCGCTAGTGTACATGTGAACTTTCTGTATCTATAAGCCACAGACAAACAGACATAACATATTGAATATTTCTCACTGTAAAACATCGTCGCTAAAACATTACCGCCATCTGTTCAATACAGTGTGTTGGGTAGCACGCTGAACAGATGGCGGTAGTGTGTAAACGTCAAACACAAGGGAATTGAATATGCGCGCCACAGGTAGCGGTACTACCAACTACGATACTTTTAAATTGACCGTTAAATGCTTGTTCGACGAACAACTTGCGACTGTTATGTCTGTTTGTCTGTGTATAAGCTATATCTTGAAATCCTCACCACAGACAAACAGACGTAACTCTTTGATTAAAATTATCTTCAAAACATGGTACCGCCAAACATAGGATTTTAGTAACGACATCTCGCGGAAAACAAGCTTGCTCGCAGATTCGCAAACAATGTTGCATGCAAGAAAAACCAAATATAAAGAATCCTCAAAGTGATCCGATGCCAGCGCTGCAGCGAGTAGTTCGCTGAAACGATAATATTCAAACCAATCGTTAAATGCGCAAACGATGATCCAGAATAAAGAGTTACGGCTGTTTGTATGTATCCTCACCATCTACGAAGTCAGGACATCTACGTGAAGACCACACGTAAACTAGTGTCACGTAGTGAGAGAACTCTGAACTAACTAACCCACAAATTTGAAGACATTCCCCCCTATTCTGCGAGTCACGTGACTCTCTCTCACCGGTGAGGTGACAATAGTCACCTCGTGTGAGGTGACTCTCCATTTGATTTACATGGAGAGTCACCTCACACGAGGTGACAATTGTCACCTCACCGGTGACAGAGAGTCACGTGACTCGCAGAATAAGGGGGATTGTTCACTTGAACAACTTTCCCGATGACGGAAACAATCTAAATAATACAGATCCGAGGGGGACGAAAGTTATCTGTTCTACATTTCTTTTAACGAATTTCAATAAAATTTGCTTAATTTTCTCGAATTTGTTTTGGATAAATTCGATTCGTTATGAATGAAAGCGCGCCTTTCGATATTATCCGATTTCATCCACTATTGATTGTTTCAAACCCTTCAAGCTTCAAGTTCCAAATCTGGAAGCAACGAAAATATCTGCACGGAGGGTTGGTGACCTTATTGACTACCGGCATTGATGGCCAAACGTATGACCAAACCATAGATGCCGTATCGATGCTTGTTCACCGGATGCCAGGGTAGTCCAAATCATAGTCCGTGATCTTGAAGCGACTATACCCAAGGCAAAAATGAATGCAGTTCCTCTTTTTTTAATATTTCTAGAAGACTTCCTTTACATGATGGTTATGTTGGTTTGTATGGGCGTGCCTTGAATTCCTAGTAATCATCGAGAGAAGTCATTGTTTACCTAAGCTGTTACGCACTACTTCCATAGAGGTAACTCTAAGACTAGAAGGTCCCGAAATAACGTGCTCAACTTTTTGGCTCAGCTCTGGTACTATCTTCGGTCCCAAGCTAATCGATTCACCCTTCGAAACATAGGAAAAACCAATAACCCCTCATTTTACCTGTCAAACTTTTATAGCGAATCAAAACAAACATTGCGTAGTACTAGAATTTAGACTAGAATGGGGTACGTTAATCGTTTGCTTGGGACCAATAGGCTAGTCAAGTAGTGAGCCAATTTAAAATCGTTAGTTTCGTATTGATTGTTGCTACTTCCAGCTCTATGCATAGATTTGTTTTAGAACAAAGATTTTCGAACTCGACCAACAATACAGAATGACGGATCAAACAAATTGTTATGACCTTATCTCGCACACCGAAGATCACATATCCAATCGAACACCACTATCGAATAGCAGAGAATTTCCTCTACCCACTGGGCAGACCTTTCAAGACAACCTTGAACAGTCGTTCAGTGTTGGTGTCGTAAGTAAACAATGTGTGCTTCTCAATAAAATACTTGGGAAGACGTTTGAATCCGTCCAAAGTTTCAGCCAATACACGACATTCACCACCCCGACCGCCAATTTGAAGTGAAACTGAACAAAGATATCTAATTAACAAGATATCCCACTAATCAATTCCTCATACAAGGCATATAATTACCACCCGTATGTGATCGCAGTGCCTTCTGTTGAGTGCACATTGACACTGTTGGGAGTTCTCCGCCAACTTCACCACCTGGGCTCAATAACTGACAGGTGTCAGCATGATAGGAAAGAGGACGATATCATCCTCGAAGTCATCATCATTATATTGCGAGAGCAAGATTCTTGTTTATGATTGTTCCGAGGATTGTTCCGATTTTCAATCATTACTACTTTATACGCAACAGAAACACTTGAGAAAACAATCACACATCCAAGCGCGCATCATGATGTGCATGTAATATGTTTTGCTTTCGAGCGAAAGAGTTTCCAATATACCACCGGGATCAGTAAGATGCAAATCTCTAATAGTAATTGATGATTTGCGGAGCTGGTGCTCAAAAGAATCTTAATAAGCATAGAAGTAAACAAGGGAAAAGCATTCACTCTCTCTAAAGAATTATTCCAACACCCCAGTCACTGGAAATGCTACGTATCGAAATCATTGCTAAACGTAATAAAATATGCCGTCTTCTTTGGCCAACGCAGCACGCATTCTATTCAAAAATTACTTTGGAATAATCATTACTTTCCTATTTTATAACGTAGGAAGTACTTGTCAACGCTTTGAAAGCAAACGCAAACGGAAGTAGCCGATGCTGAATGAAAACGATGAGTGATGACAACGCTTCGTGTTTTGATTTGCGCTGTACCGTCCACTCAGTTGTGTGGGTTCGTACATGTATAGATGTTGGTGTGCGTGTTTTCTTCCAACGCTGCAGTTCAACGTCACAAACCGTTTGGCGCTGTTATCTTTCTCTAAAAAAATCCAAAGACTGAAGGGGGTCTGATTTAACGAAGTTCAAAAGTTCCGTACGAAGAGCATGGAATTCAGAAGTGGGTATCACAATGGGGGAGGACCTTTTACTTCTTGTTATTAAGCCGTGAGTCTATCAAATTGATTGCTCGATTGAATTTCATCAGAAGGGGGATCAAGCGATTGCTCTTTTCTTTTGCGGTTAGGGGCTGTTCATAAACTTCGTAGACAGTTTAGGGGGAGGGGGGATTGACAATTATCCACGACCCATACAAATTTAAAAAAAAAATATGGACAATTGTCTACGCAGGGGGAGGGGGGGGGGTCAATAATCCTAAAAAACTGTCTATGTAGTTTATGAACAGCCCCTTAGGTGCCATGGCGGCAGAACCAAATTTCCCTAAATCGATTTCCTAGCAGATTACTATAAGAATCCGAAGGGTCGAAGAGAAATTTTCCAAGTCGATGTCCAAGCAGGATTACCTCGGGTATGCTCCAAACAAGGATCGAAGAGGAATAAGAGTCGAGCAATTTAAAACTAACGATTTTAAATTGGCTCACACTGGACTAGCCTATGTTTGTTTTGATTCGCTATGAAAATTTGACAGATAAAATGAGGGGTTCGTGGATTTTCATATGTTTCGAGGGGTGCATCGATTAGCTTGGGACCGAAGATAGTACCAGAGCTGAGCCAAAAAGTTGAGCACGTTTCTTCGGGACCTACTAGTCTTAGAGTTACCTCTATGGTTATAATGAGTCACGCCAAGAGAAAAACAGTGGAACTCGCATCACGGTTTTCGAAAGATTCCCTTCCCTTTCACTTGACAACAGAGGACTTCTGCATCAACTTCAAAGTATAGATTCTATAGATTCCATAGATAAGTGGAGGCAAAGTATAATCAACAATCAATACGAAACTAACGATTTAAAATTGGCTCACCACTTTAGTAGCCTATTGGTCCCAAGCAAACGATTAACGTACCCTATTCTAGTTTAAATTCTATTACTACACTATGTTTGTTTTGGTTCGCTATGAAAGTTTGACAGATAACATCAGGGGTGTGTGGATTCATGCAGAACATGCAGGGGTGAGTGAAATAGCTTGGGACTGCTTGGGACCGTTGTTCTGGTACTGAGTGAGCCAAAAATAATAATGATTTTCTTCGGGACCCAGTGGTCTTAGAGTTACCTCTATGGTATAATGTAGCCAAACGAACTGTCAGTTACTGTAGCCAAACGAGCATGACGTCATCATGGTGCTGTTTGAGGGAGAAGTATTGTAATATTATGAGCACAAAACTCTTTCTACACTCCATATTCCGATTTATTTAGCGGACAATGGAAGAAGGAAAGCTAATTTTTCTCCCGGACCAGAAATTAGTGGCATCGCGAGTGATAATTTTTAATTTCAGTTTATTTACGCGCTGCAAGGTGCGTGAAAGAGTTCGGCACAATCGGTGTTGATGTTGGCTCGCTGCTTGAAACTTTTTTTTGTGTTTTCGAAAGAAATTGATCGAAAGTGTACCAAAAGTGCTTCTGAACGTGTTTCGCAGTTGGGAGTGGTGAAGTTCGTAAATTCGCGGTTTATGTTCAGTGAAAATTCCGTATAACAAAATTGCTCAACGAGTTCCCTTTTTTTTTGCCGTTCGA